TTCGCAATACAAATATTTGAAACGAAAAATCCTCTCTGTATCATAAAGCATAAATGAACAGTGTCAGTGGGTATGTACCATTATTCTCCTTTGGCTTAAGATGGTGAAAATAGGATGATAGATGCTGTTTTCACTTCATATTGAATTGCATGAAATTATGGGCAGTTTTTTTGTTTTGTTTTCTGTACGTTTGACTGTGTGTGTGTGCGAGAAAAAATAACCAATGAGGATCCTAATACAGAATAAAAAGGACCACAAACACCGCACAGAACACAGCAGGAAGTTGTTCTATGAGCTCTGCAGAGAAAAAGTGATAAACAGATGTTTTAAGTCTACAACAAAAATACATTATATAACATTCATTTTGAAGCTATTGTATGGACAAAAGGCTGAAATAAATCATAGTTTGTATTAGGACTGAAACTTTTTTCATTATAGTTGAATCTCCCAATTATCTTCTTGATTAACTGTTTGGTTCATAACATGTTAGAGCAGGGGTGTCAAACTCAAATACACAGTGGGCCAAAACTAAAAAATGGGTACTAGTCGAGGTCCGGACTGGTTCAATGTTTATTGCAAAACTTATTGAAATGAACTTATTGCACATATTAAACCTGGAACTAACAAAGCTTAAATGATTGCCTATAAAAACAACATTAAACATTAAATAATCAGTTGCATTCATTTCTTATGGCTCTATCTGCAGCTTTTCCAGAGTCATTTCTTATGATTACATTTTCCCACAGGCCAACAACAGCTTCAACAAAACTATTTCCCGCAAAGAGAAAACCAAACATGCCCTGTTGTCGTGAGAAACAAAGTGCAGAAGGAAACATCCATTAAACTCAGTGTGCTGCTCTGTGATGCTAGTTCAAGCCAGATACTTGGCATCTCATCTTGGGTGCAAGTTCATCAATGTTTGGGGTCAGGCTCTGAGCTGAGGGATATACCGGCGGGCCAGATCTAATAGCAATTAGAAATTATCCTGCGGGCCGAAATTAAATCCACCAAGGGCCTGATTTGGCCCCCGGGCCTTGAGTTTGACACATGTGTGTTAGAGAATAGGAAAATGTGATTAGTAAGTCCAAGGTGATAGATGTAGTGAAGTTATTTACTATAATATGATTCAAAACAGAGAAAAGAGAAAAGCTCAATCTCCTTTTTATCATTTCTGTTGGTTCTTGGTGAAGTATATTTCTTAGTCTTAAATGATGCCTTCCACTTAAATTATACAGTAATTTCTTACCGAAATGTATGATGAATAATGCCACTTGGGTAACATATTCACATTAGAAATAACTAATAAGCACAGAGTCTAAAATATGTGAACTAAGCTTCTATAAACCAGAACTTCAAAACATTTGATAAACAAGAAGTGCACACAGAGTAAAAACATTACCAGCAATACCCTGAAAAACAGCCGAAATAAGGACATTTCTGAATGAAATGTTGCTGCCAAACTCTCTGTTTTAACCAAAAAGTCACAGCCTACATTTATAATCAAACATAAACAAAGTGTGTGTAGCTCACGTGCTACTGTACATGCAAGCTAACTGCTAAAATTGCTAATAGCAAGTCTTTTTATGAAACGCAAATTATCTTCTTGTTACTTTAAAGTCTCTACTTACATAAAGGTTTAGGCCCTCAGTGAAATGTTTCGTACAGCAGTAAGACTATTCTGGACCCTAAGCCCAATGTGTTGTGGTCGCTTACTTTTGACGTCATCGCATTTACTTGTTGCGCCCGCGCAAAGCATTGTGGGAGTTTGAGTTTTAGAGCATCGGATGTTACTTGCTACCTCTCAGAGGGATATGGCTTACAATTCCACTTCACTGACAGCTTTGGTCACCTTTCAAAATATGATTTTAACACACAAAACATATGAAAATGTACCCATGAAACAATACATTGATTAACCAAAGACATGACTGACCATTATTTAGATCATTTCACTCTTTTTCATTGTAGAATGTTGCTTCTAAGGCTACTTAATTTACTTATCTGAGTACATCTCCATCTCTGTTTTGGAATAAATTACCAATACCTCTGAAATGTAGTGGAGAAGAGGCATAATGATGCATAAAGTGGAAATACTACTACTATTAGTAAGACTTGAGGACATTTAATTAGCTATTTTCCACTACATCTAATATTAATCCAATAATCTAATGTACCTTTTAATTGTAGCCTAAATGCTTTTAAACATCAATAACGTTTTTCAAGATTGAAGCAGAACTTTTAAATCAAGCTGTTTATTGAAGATTAATCTTGATTGAGATATTGCAATAATGTATGAGTTAATAACTGACCAGGCCTTTTCTAAAGTTAAGGAAATAGCCTGATAGTTATAGCAGATGTGTTACTGATAATGTTAATGATGCCTCTGTTAAATTAAGGCACACATGTCAAACTCAAGGCCCGGAGGCCAAATCAGGCCCTTGGTGGATTTAATTTCGGCCCGCAGGATAATTATTTAATTACTATTAGATCTGGCCCGCCGGTATATTGCACGCACACCTTCACTCAATCCTGAGGGTCTCCTCAGCTCAGAGCCTGAGCCCAAACATTGATGACCTTGCACCCAAGATGAGATGCCAAGTATCTGGCTTGAACTAGCATCACAGAGCAGCACACTGAGTTTACATGGATGTTTCCTTCTGCACTTTTTTCTTTCACAACAGGGCATGTTTGGTTTTCTCTTTGAGGGAGATAGTTTTTTTGAAGCTGTTGTTGGCCTGTGGGAAAATGTAATCATAAGAAATGACTCTGGAAAAGCTGCAGATAGAGCCATAAGAAACTAATGCAACTGATTATTTAATGCAATAAGTTCATTTCAATAAGTTTGGCTATAAACATTGAAACAGTCCGGCCCCTGGACTAGTAGCCTACCGAAGTTACAAAGAGCCAGCAAACACAATACAATGACCCTGAAACTGAAGCAGCTGATTTGTATTTGGGCATTATGAATTAGATTATTTACACGTTATGTTTTGTCTACTGTGGCCTGTTAAAGTGTCTTCAGTGAAAAAGTCTATTTGTAAAAGAGAAATGATAATTGTACAACCATGGAAATTACAATAACTTGGGTGAATTTTTAAGCAAGGAATTTTCTCAACAATAAATGAGTACGCATTAATTCTGTAGTAGTAATGCCTTATCGATTTATCCGAAACATATATGAATTTATTTTTACGTTATCATTATTATGCCTCTAAAACTTTTCACAGAGAGTTTTATAAGACTCATTTAAGGCCATTATTTACATTAATATCCATGTGAAACAGGAAACAACATACACACACACACACACACACACACACACACACACACACACACACACACACACACACACACACACACACACACACACACACACACACACACACTTGGGCAATGCCTGATTAATAAATCGATGCTTGTCTTGCATAAAAAACAAGTAAGAAGGTAAGTGTGTCCTTGAGATGTCTACATTCATTTGTTGTAATGGTGTAGTTGTTAAAATGACATCTTTGATTTGATTCACCACACTAGTATTCTGTGTCATGAATAAGGCAATGGAACACTTCCATCTATTCTGCAGATGCTGTCCCAGCTCTTATAGTGATGCAGGTTTAGAAGGAAAAGTTCATTGTTTTTGGAAAGCTGGAAGTTTTGGGATGATTATGAACACTTTTCCTGGAGTAATTGGATTTTTTGGTAAAAGAAAAAGTCAGGAAGAATATATTTTTCCAGCCACGGAGCCAACATGCAGAGTCAAAACCAGGACAGGCTGCATAGTCAACATGTTACCTATGAGAAGACAAGCAAATCAAAAAAGGCATGATTGGGTTTTAGTGAATGTTATTGAGGAATCAAGTTCGTCAAATCGTCCTTTCATGCAAATAATTTTCAGTGTGTGTGACGCTAACATCTGTCTGCTGCACAACATCCTTATTTTATTCTTGTTAAAAGGCTGAAAATCTGATCAGCAATTAGATTACAAACTTGCATTTAAAATAACTGTTGAACATAATCCAACTTTAATCTTTGCAACTATACCTTATCAAAAAGTTCAGGTTGATGGATGAATGAATGTCATTACAAATAACTTGTTTATTACATGCCAATCCGAGCTAAAAAGCATTGTTATTTTTCGTTATTGCATCGTTTAAGATACATTTTGAAGAATAATCCAACTTTTTGCAGCTGAACCTCACCAAAAAACAGATGCAAATTCAGGCTTCTGCATGGATGAATTCCATTACAAATACATGCAGATTCCAGCTCATAAGTATTACCAATTTCCTTATTGCAGCTGCACATTATCCAGTAGTATTGTTTTTCATATTGCATCCCCTCATCCTTTACCCGCTGCCACCAGCAGTTCCACCACCGCCACCACCATCACTTCGCAGGCAAACAAGCCTCTACTGCCCGACATTATCTCCATCCAGACTCCGCTGAAAAAAGAGGTTCAAATGACGGATGATAGCATGGCCGAGAGACCAGGGGACAGTGTATTTACATCCGAAGAGGCTTTGCAAGTTTAGAGGGGAAGCCTCTGCGTGTGTCTCCCCCCCCCTCCTCCTCCTCCGCTGGCAGAAATTTATAAAGAACAAAAAATCCGACGAGGGAGGGAGGGAGGGGGGTTGATATTCGCCGAGGCTGAAATCGAGAGGCGAACCCAGGGAAAGAGGAGTGTGATTTCTACACGGGACTTTCCCCCTCTTAGTCCCCCGCAAAAGGAGGGGGAAAAGTCGCAATATTTTGGAAAAACCAGGAAGGAATGAGCTTCTAAGGGGGCGTTTTGCAAGTGTGGATACTTTATATATATTTTTATTTCGGGAAAAATATGGCCGAGAACGTTCTGGACTCTGGCCCGCCTTCAGCCAAGAGGCCTAAACTCTCCCCGCTGTCCGCCTCCGATGGGAACGGTACGTGTTTTTTAATGGTATAATGTGGTGGTATTTGTTTAGTTAGCTCAGGTTTGACTTTAGAGAGGGGGACATACGAGTGGTGGGATTCAGTTTTTACCGTAGCTTGCTAACTGTTAGCTGTGAGGAGTGTGTGTCGGACGTGAAGAGCAGGTTCCCCGCTGCTAGCTCAGATGCTAACAGCCATTTTAGCCGGAGGTAGCTACGTTAGCATTGAGGCTAACGCTAGGATAACTATCAGAATCAAGCCCAACAGCAGGAAGAGCGCCGGACGTTGAAGCATATTTTGCTTAGTGGCCAAATGGTGGTACTACAACGTATGTGTCATTGGGCCCAAACATACCTTTTCCCATTGACTTGCATTCATAGATATCAGAATCATAAACAGGTTTTTTCCACATTAGTTTTACACATACGAGGAATTTTCCTTGGTGTATATAAACATAAACACAGAAAATGACCAATAAATATATACTTTATTTATCCCAAGTTGTGAAATTGTACAAGAATGACAAACTGTCTTCAATATAGAATAGATAGAAATAGAAAATACATATTATTTAGAAGAGTATCTTAGAATAAACATTATAAAATATGCAGATGCCGGAATTTAAGGCAAGCAATAACAAAGAGTAAGCTAATTTATCAAATATAGAGGGAAAAGCACACATTATAAGTAATAGAAACAAATTAAATAAAGACAAATAAATACACAGCCATGGCTTAAAAAAACCTCAAAATTAGCTTGATAAACTACCCATCACCTTTGCAGCCCTTATTTGAATCATTACGGTCTAACAAGTTGTACAAATACACTAAAAGCTGAATCCAGAGTTATTTCTCCATTCATTTGACAGCTCAGTGGGAGAAAGCTCTACTGCGCAAGCTCAATGGGCCCACATACGGGTACTTTGCTCAGGCCTTTTTGGCTCTATACGCCACTTTGCATCTCTCATAGGAATGAACGTTATCCAGTTTTCTCTCTAAATCCATGGTAGCTCTGTTAGCATCTCGGCTAACCGAATGCGGGTCCTCCACAGACTGTCTAATGGCTACTTTAGCCGGGGGGATGATAAACTCCATGCCATGCCGACTTATCATGAAGTAATTTAGTGTATTTACACTTGTGACCAATTGACAGTCAGCTACAGTAAACCCCCATTGTGTTATTTTAGTTTTTAAGGCGTCTAAAACAGTGTGTTGTGTTGCCTCATCATAACTCAGACCCTTTCCCAACTAGCGTTACATTCAATATATTCAAAGGATTTATTAACATGTAGCTACCGTGTAGTAATGGCAATGAACATATTATGTCCAAAGCTCCTCCAACAATGCAACATAAATATATATGAGACACAAAACAATTAAAATAGTGCAAGAAGAAACAGAGTAGTATAAGATTATGTTCCAAGACCAACGTGTACCAAGTAATGCAGACGAAGAAAAATAGACTATATACATGTCAAATAAAATACGATAAGCTAAACTGTGCACGCAAGTAAATGCAAGAGTCCATGTAAAGTAGAATAAGATAATGTAAAATGAAAACTGAACAGTGCTTACTGTAGTAATCAGTATTTATTCAACTATATAGTATTAATTTGACATTGTGTTCTTGTTTATCTTAGCTTCTTAGCTACTGTAGGTAGTGTTGCTGAAAGCAGAGGTTGCAGATGGTGGCGAGGCTAGCCTTGTGTGAGAGATACATGTAGGCCCACATGTCCGACTGATTGTAAAGCTTCACATTGCCATTGTTGGTGTGTTTTTTTGTGTGTGGATGGCGTGTGACAGCAGCTGGAATACTGGCTAGCGCCATGCCACTACGATATTAGTGGAGTTAGCAAGTAAATACTGCTCCAATGAAGAAATATCATCACTTAATCCATAATTTTGACCATAAAGAGCTGCATTTTGAGCTGTCCACTCAGTTAAGGCTCTCTGTAACTGTCTGTGGAAAGGGACCTAAACCATCCACACATTAATGTTAACTTGCATGATGTATTTGAAGGATCAGTGCAGTGCTGTCAAAATAAATATCTATATAAGAGATGCAATGTATTGCACTCAAAGACATTATCTTCTTATGTATTTGTGGCACCGTCATGCAGAGTGTTTATATAGTGTAGAAAGAAAAGCATATGACACATTAAGAAGCTATGGGACATTTAAAAATACTTTTGCATGATATTACTCTGTACTGGTTTCAAAAAGCTACTAGGAAATACTGTCAGTGCTGCAACTGCAGAATAATATCATTGTAGATCAATCATTTAAATAGTTATAATTCATTAAAACGCACCAACAACACTCAGAAATGTCCAACACAAGAGACGAAATTAGATTATGTTCTTTAAAACATTTGGGGGGGAGGGCTAGGCTTTTTGGTTTTGATCTCTATCATGCGTCTTATTTGATTGCCTAAGATGTGTGCTGTTGAACTCAGTGGATACACACTGACACAGCGAACGTCTCCATTTTGTGGCATTACTTTCTATGAAACGGTCCATTTGTCACCTGGTCGACACAAACCTGTGTTTGCAACATGTTGAATCACTTTGCTGGACAGGGATTCTGTGTGTGAGCAGGCCATGTGGGCGTGTGTGTTTGCATATATTGTAGGTTTGTGCATGCATGAAACTTTCTTCTGGATTTCATCTGAAGTTAAGTGCTCAGTTGTGTTTTGTTTGATGGTATGTTATTAATTCCTGATGGGAGAAAATTGTCCGTACGCCTTTTAAACAGCTTTTATCAGTTCCATTGTGTTGTCAGACAGGCTTCACCTTTCCTGTTGTCCCAGAGTCAAATGTTATATTGGAATAAGAGATTATTTTGTAAAATAAACCAAACATGGAAATTAGTTCTGCTGACCATAAATAAATAAAAAAGGAAACTTGTGGATATACGTCAGAATTAAGTTGGCTTTAAATGTGAAACGCAGATTTAAGTTATGATGTATACTATATGCTTCATAAACAGTCAAACTATGATTGACAAAAATTGCAAAGTTGACAGACAGAAGACACAACGGTCAAAAATGAAGGAATAAACCAGCACATTTATGTTGTCTTCATCTTCCTTTGACTCCTCCGCCTAAACTTTGCATTTCTTCTCTTTTTAGATTTCGGCTCACTGTTTGACTTGGAGCACGATCTCCCAGACGAGCTCATCAGCTCCAATGACTCGGGTCTGGTTAACGGAGGAGACCTCAGCCAGCTGCACACCTCTCTGGGCGGAGGAGGACCTGCAGGTCTGGGTCCTGGAGGAGGAGGCGGCGCTGGAGGAATGGGGCTCGGACTCGGACTCGGAGGTCAGGATGCGGTGGCAAAGCACAAACAGCTGTCAGAGCTTTTGCGATCGGGGGCGCCCAACGCGACCCAGCAAGGGCACCAAGGAGCCATGGGCAGCCCAGGAGGCTCCAGCGCTTTGGGGCAACACTTAGCGAACATGAAAGCATCTCCTGGTCCTCCTCAGATGATGGGCCAGCAGCACCTGTCCCCTCAGCAGCAGGCCAGCCTGATGCAGCAACAGAACGCTGGCATGATGGGTGGCATGAACAGGGCCATGATGGCAGCGCAGCAGAAAGGCAATAACGGACAGCAGCAGCCAGGCATGATGGGAAGCCAGGTGATGAACGGCTCCCCCAGGATGGGCTTTGGGAGTCAGGGGATGGGGGGCAGCAGCAACCTGTTGGCGGAGACCCTCCAGCAGCAGCAGGGGACCGGGGGCCAGGCCGGGATGAGAGGCCAGCAGCCCGGAGCAATGAACAAGGTAAGGGTCCTTTTTTTTAACACTTTATTTTTTTTAAAGTTTTCTTTATAATCATACAGCATGTCATTGAGCAGTCAAATACATATCGAATCTAATACACCCCCCACCCCCACCCCAGCATGAAAGAAAACAAAAAACAAACAAAGCAAATGACAAACAAAAAGACATTATATTCAACAAGATTGCTTTAGAAATTGCCCAGATTTCCGCAACACTCAAATCTATACACAATTCTCTTCAGAGAGTTAAATCCAGCTTGCACTTTCTCCTTTTAATGGTGAAAATGCTGTTTTTTTCACCATGTGGTGTAACATTGAAGTTATATGGAATATTATGGTTGTATATATATATTCATATTGGGTGAAAATAAACTGCTGCAGTTCAAGTCCCCGCTCTAAAGTCATTTGTAGAACCTGCATTATCTTCTAGTAATGCTCTAAAAACCGTAACTACCGCCCAGGGGTGTAAACGATACTATGGTCTGGATCACCATGGACGCAAACTGAAAAGATCGTTGGATATCCTCCTCTTGCAGACGCGCCTTCATTTTGAAAATCCGATGCACATCTGTATCATCATATCCGTCCAAGCGCTCCTCATTCCTACAAGTCCAGTACAGAGAATATATTTAAGCTGCTTTTTGTGAATATTGATTAGGGCCGTGCGATTATGTCAAAAATCATGATCACGATTATTTGGGTCAATAATTGATATCACGATTATTAAAAACGATTATCCATTTACTTTGAAAACATCCATTTATTGAAAAAAAAAAGTTGAACATTATGTTTTTAACAGTTGATTATCCTGAACTTTAAGTATAATTCAACTGAAAAACCAATAAAAAAAATATTTTTTATTTAAAAAAAAAATAATAATAATAGTTTTATTTCGATTACGTTGATTTCGTAATTGTTGCAAGCCAACATCAAGATTAATATACGATTAATTGCACAGCCTTAATATTGATGGAAATCATTGGGTCAAATGGACATACTATGGTTTCATATCAATCACAAGTCACTTAATTAAATCTTATAAAAAACATTTTGGCAGACTTTCCGATATCGGCAAATCTAATCTGTCCAAAGAATCAAAAAGGTATTGCAACGTGATGAAACTAATAATCTACACTCCTAAAGCCGCCCGTTATCTTACTTTTGAAACATAAACATGGAGTTCATTTGACACATATTCGATGTCGGTCATGATCTTATGTTTGTGCAAAACTATTAAGGCATTCTTTTTAGCTTTTTCTTTAAAGTGTACTGTTTTTTGGAAGGCTTTAGTTTGATTTCTGCCCAGAAAGAGATGCTCCGGGTCCTTGAACGTACTTCTGTATTTTAACATCCACGAGGAAACGCTGCAAGCTCTTGATTGGAGTTGAAGTGGCAGAGGGCTGCTCAGTTTGTGTGATTGAAAGTCTCACTAGAATGACAATAACTGCGTTTCAGCCGCTGGTGATGCTGCTGAATGAATGTGATGGAGACACTGATTTCTGATTTAGCCGCTGAAAAAAGCACCGAGATGGTTTCCAGGTTTCGTATAAGGGGGCAGAAAGAAAGATGTAGTGGTCTTTCCGAAGGCGATGCAAGTAATAAGGAGGAAAGGAACGAGAAACAAATCATAGAAAAAAGTTCAAATAAGTCACGGAGAACAAGGAAAACAATGCTCGTCGGATTTCACATTCTGCTGGCTGCTGTTGATGTTGAAACCTGCTTAACTCATTTAAAAGCACATTTTCAGTACGTCTTCGATGCTCTTGAGCAGTTGCGCAAGTGGTAAAAAAAACACGTTCTTTTGGGAGATAAATACTTTGGCACGAAACAATGGTGTGAGGAAACATCCGCAGCCTTAAGCAGCGCAGATTTGACAGCTTTTGGAGACATTTGAGGTTTTTTGTCAAGAAAATTGTGCTTGACCTTTTATGAACCTGCATCGTTTATCAAACTACTGCAGCATTTTTGGACCAGAGCCTAGCTAGAAAACATCTTTATTTTCTCTGTGTTCCCACTGTAAAAATAAATACTAAAGTGTACAACACAAGCTTGAGTCCACACAAGTCTTTGTGGCTCGGCACATGACGCCGTGAGGACGACATTCAGAGGAGTTTTACCTGTCAGCAGATGAACCCCGTAATTCTAGTGTTTAGTCAGTTTAAACCTAATTCAATTTTTTTTTAATTAGTTTGAATTGGTTGATTAGGTAGCTCATACATTATGCATGTCATTACACAGACTATAAAAGCTACATTTGAAAAAGAAAATCAATAAAAACACACCTGCTTCGCACAAGCCTGGCGTTTAAAATGTAATAGAAAGTGTCAAAGAAACGCAGATCTACGAGACAACAGAAGATTATTTTTGGAAAATGTCAAAACACACAATCCCTTTGCATGCACAGTGGGGTTGATACTATAGTTTATTGTCTTCTCTAACTCACCAACAAAATGTTGACAATATCTGGTTTGCTTACTGCACATATTTTCTATTTTATTGCATTCTATTTCAATGTAAATTACTGCTTTATTTTATTTTATATTTTTTCGTATTTTTTTTGTAATATTATTATAGTTTCCTTAAAATATGCAACACGACACCAATTCAAATTCTTCCTCATATGTGTCAACTAGTGTTTCCGCCAGACCAGGGCTGAGAGGGCGTCCACCCCGAGAGCTGGGGGGGTCGGGGTCGTGTCGTGTCACCTGACTTGAATTTTGAATTGAGCCGTCCCTTAAGTTATAGATACTATCTCTTTACGTATTAGTGATGGGAATTTGGCTCGGCTCACTAAGAAGAGCCGGCTCCTTCGGGTCCCAAACGGCT